ATCTGGTCTAGCCTCTGCCTGCAAATGACAAGCGAGTCATTTTAATGGAAGAGCGATGAGAAAGATAGAGGTCCTAAAAGTCAGAAGGCAGAGACTGCTGGGTGTACAGACGCTGATATCATAGCTCTTTGTGTCTTTTTTGCATTCCTGGTACAGGAAATATGAGAAGAGGCACACAAAAAATAAATAAATTTGCACAAAAGCAGATAGATGCAAACAAAAAAAGGAAAAAGAAAATACTTAAAATATCTTTTGGTAAATTATTTCTTATACAGGTTAGTTACTCTAAAATTACAGTTAAAATCTGAAGTTAGGGCTTTTATTATTATTTTCATTATTATTGTTGAGAATGGTCTTTCAGTGATAGATACCAGTTTATTAGGTACACCTGTTTAACAGCATTTTAAGAATAACCAATTTGAAAAAAACAACAACAACAACAAAAAACCCAATTATGTGTCAAACGTGTCTCAATTGGAGCTTCAGGATTTAAATGTATGTGTTGTAAATAAACTCAGGAATAGTTTAAGAAGGAAAAGTGGAAGCATTACTTGAGTTTTTCAAGGGACCAGTAGTGCGTGGCTCCATTCTTCAGGTCTTGAACCTCTACAGCGACCACGGTGCGAGGGAAAGGTCTCGGGTCACGATCTTTCTCTGGCTCTGGGGGAAGGAGCTCAGGGGGCAGTGGCGAGTATGGTGTGTCTGTCAGCAAGACAAACTGGAACTGGACCTGATGAATGATGGGAAAGGACGAATACAAGGGACTGTTTATATCTTCAGGTAAGTAAATGTTCGAAGGTTGGTTGATATCGTGAAGCTGAAAGATCAGATGAACACCCCTCCACTCCCTTCCTCTTTATGCCCTTTTGATCTCAGCATCTTCTGGACACAAAACACTAAAGCAATTAATAACATTCGATATAAATCACACACAGATAGAAACCCAAGATAAAATCCTGTCAGCTTATGATGAAAATGGCCTGGAAATGTGACAGATGACTCATTACTGGTATTAATCACAGAGGGCCTAGAAGTGGACACGCATTTAAATCACACTTTTATCCCGGATAAGGGAGGTAAACCAGGCATCAGTTTTATTTAAAGGAGTTTTGACAGGAACATAAAAAAAATAAATATCTGTGTGACCTTGAAATAATAATAATAATAATAAAATTTTATTTATATAGCACCTCTCTAGACAGAATCACAAAGTGCTGCACATAAGATAACAAATAATAAAAGGGTAAAACAGACAATATAAACAGAAATTTAACCAAAACCAGTTTTAAAAAGGTGAGTTTTGAGTTGTTTTTTAAAAACAACTACCGAGTCCACAGTTATGAGGGAGAGAGTTCCACAGTCTCAGGGCCACAGTGGCAAAAGCTCTGTCACCCTTAGTTCTCATCTTAGTCTGTTTTATAGCAAGTAAGCCCTGATAAGATGACCTCAGGGACCTGCTAGGGACATAGGGCTGTAGCAGATCGGAGATGTAGATCGGTGACAGTCCATCCAAGGCTCCAAATGTCAAGACCAGGATCTTAAAATGTACTCTAAATTCAACAGGAAGCCAGTGTAGCTGAAATAGCAATGGTGTCACATGTGAATACTTGGAGGATTTTATCAACAGCCTAGTTGCAGCGTTTTGCACAACCTGCAGACGATCCAGAGAACCTTTGCTTAGACACATATACATGCATAGTAATGGAATGGCATTGATATACAGCTTTGTTATCTTAGTAACCATTTAAAGTGCTTTAAAGTAAAAGCCACATCTCTAACCTTGAGGCCGATGTCACTGAGATTCAAACTCGGCCGAGACTTTTAGCAGATACACCAATGTTATCAATTTGAAACTGCTACTCTGCATCGTTCTCGAGCTGTCGCATGCACAAACTTGGGTGTCCAGGTAAGATCAAAAGCAGGAACCTTCTTACAGTGAGGCGACACCTTCTTTAACAAGGAGGGTGCCGCCATTTTTATTTATTTTTTTGCTGGTTCTTTAAAATGTATCAATCACATCCAAAGAACACCAGAATGGTCTACTGCTGGCTGCAAGAACTTCCAGTATCTAAAAAAACTGAAGGCCTGCATCACTTTTAATTTTGTGTTAGCATGCTGCACGCTAATGTGGCCACAATTAGCACTAGCATATAAACATAGAAACATATAAAATAGACAAATAGAATAGCCTTTTATTGTCATTGAACATGTACAACGAAACTGTAGAGGGAAGGGGATGCATAAGAAAAGTCTATGATCACAATACAAGTAATTTCTGAAATGTCAACACCGCTGCATGAAAACATTTTGTACTGAACGAGTCTATCTTCTTTGTGGGCTTTATTGCCAGCCGACAGCTCTCAGGTGGCTGTTCCCATCTTGATGAAGCTGTATTATATAAACAGGGTTTCTTGAGAGGAGGGCTTTAAATAAATAAGGAGCTAAAATGGAACTTTTCTTTTTACAGAGCTGAAAAAGAGGCGGGGAAACAGCGTATAGTGTAAGGATGATAATATTTTATTTTAACACTAAGTTATCTAAGCACACTCTGCAAACCCCTAAAATCATGCTAGGAACCTGTAAGTCATTATTATATGGAAAATATTTTATGCAGCAACCTTTAAGTCTAAGATCCTCTGACCCATTAACATCATCAGGCGCTTCACTTGTGACACTCTCCCAGGCCTGAGGGTGTGTCATGTGGGTTTGTGTTTAGGTGTCAGTGAAATACGTAGAAAATGACAGATTATTGCTATGAGGGTGATTCACTTCAAGGTAAATAAAGAGAAATACCAATTCACTTACTTTCTTCTTCAGTTCCACACTGATGGCATTAGCCTCTTTTAGGTAGACGGCATTTCCCCACAGCTGATCTCGAAGGGAGGTGAACTGATGGTACCTCCACTTCCTGAAGGCCCACTGAGCCAGCTCAAACTCATGCTGAGTCCACGGCACTGTGCGGATACAAAAGACAGAGGGGGCGTTATCAAGATAAATACAGCAGTTATTAAACCTTACAAATCAAATAATCATAAAACCCAAAAGGACCATAGCTTTGATTTAGCCCAGCCACAGGTCTATCCTACTTAGCATTAATGCTTGAAATTCAAGAGGATCTCTCAGTTATAGCATTTTGTCAACTTCACTTTAAAGGTAACATTACTTGTAGGCACTGACTGCAGTATCAACAGTTTCCTTTTGAGGCTCTCAAACAGAATTAATGAAAAAAGTTCCAGAAAAGCACGAAACTTACAAACGTATGCGTCAAGAACCAAAACTAAGAGGTTTCTTGTATGAAACTACAATCTGAGCATAAAGGTTTGGTTTTGTCACAATAAACAGAACCCCTTTAAACATGACAGAGCCTGTATTCACATTAGGTTTCATAATGTGCCACCAAGATGGATGAGATTAAGACTAAATTAATTAATGACCCATCGCTGGTTATTACCAGTCTTTCATCCAGACTTAAAATGATGGAAACCAGCACAGAGGCATGCTCTGAAACCTGAAACAGTGATTTAATGACATTTGTCATCACTGGGCTGAATAAGTATGGTCCTTTAGACTCCATAATGATGAGCATTTCTGACCTGGTCTCCCTTGAAGAAAAAAAAAAAATCTCAATGGATTTTTTTTGGTTAAACAGAGGTTTAGTAAAAGTAATATATAAATTTATGTAAAACGACATATACCATTAGTAGTATGTTTATTGTGCATGGACTAGAGGATGTACTAGTTTTGAGCTAGTTTTCTGTTAATACCTTCAATGGGTAATTAATGTGGCACTATTAAAATACTTGAATCTGAATGAAAGTGATATTATGGATATGTAAATACTATACGCACATCCAAGGAGTTTAGGCTCTGGACACAAAGTGTGGAAGAAAACAGACACAGTTCATTTATACATTTATATAAAAATAAACACACACACACACACACACATATATCTATATATTATATTTTAGCATTACATGTAGTGTGTACAGGAAAAACAATCATCTTCAGGTCTGAAAATGCATACTACACACCTTCCTCTTCCTCCTCCTCCTCCAACTCTTCTTCATCGGGTGTCTCAGCTACCAGTGAGCGAGTCTCCACCTGTTTCTGAAGCTCCTGCAATTTGCTCTCGTAAACCTGGACACCAACACAGGGAAGAGGAGAGAGAACGTGGAAAACTGTCCATCAGCGGCAACAACAGGTGACGCCAACCCAACGAGGGTTTTATTTGTGAAAAACGAGCACTGAAGACTGATTATGAAGCCAAATGATGCGCGCTTCTGGATGTGTAATAGCATTAAACTGGTTTATAGTTATTAGATTGTGAGCCCTACCCTTATATTGTGAATTTCTAGATAAATATGTTGCACATAAGCAATTCATGCATCATTACAAAGGAAAAAATATATATTTTTACTGTCCATGAAACTAAGATATTATTAAATCCAGGACTAAAGAGGTTCAATAAAGTTCTAATTATGTGGATCGCTCAGCTCTTCACCAGTACAACAAAGGAGAAACCATCTCCTTTGTAAGTATGTAAGAGCATAAACTGTGGAATACTTTCTATATTGATCAATGAGGAAAAAAAGCATCTGAGAGCAGTGGTATGAGTGGAAGCAGAGAGGTGCTGGTAGAAGCTGAGTCAACTGTAATCCAATGAGGGGCGCCATCATCATCATCAGGACAGGCTGTGTTCCCAATGACCTCATCCTGTTTGTTCACAGTCTTCTGAGAAGACAATGCAGCCTTTTCATTTGTCTGCTGAACTCCTACCAGCAAGCTGACGTCTCCTCGTTTAAGGAGCCCGTGGAAATCCAGCATGAAAGTTTCACCGATCAACTCGAAGCTACAGAGTTTATTAGAAGGACACTTTAAGCACCTTTAACCTGACTGTTGCAAATTATTAACCCTGCACGCTGCCTACATGCAGATTCTACTCTTATTTAGGTTTAGTGGTAGTGGAAAACAAATAACAGCAATATGTAACAAACAACTGCACATGGATCATGTCATTTTATTTCATTTCATTCATACCTTGACAATAAAACACATAGTTGTGGTATATCCTTTATGAAAACCAGTGAACAATACTGTTCAATGTTAATGTGCTCTATCAAGGAGCAACACAACTCGGTACACAGCCACAATGAGGCACTTTATGTGGTTGTAGGTTCAAAAAACACAAGATGTACGACACTCAGACACAGAGACCTAGCATACTTATAAATGCTGATTTCAGAGCTGTACACACGGTGGTTCATTTGATGCTGTACACTGTCCAGCTTACCCGGTCACCATCTGCACCAGAGCTTATGTTAAACAACTTTCTTTTAATAGATTCATCAGGGCTGAGGAAATGTAAGCTACTCCATGCAAAGATAGTCAAACATATGAGGGGAAGGCTGGCTGAATATGTCATGTCATTTGGGTTTTTTTGTTACAGCATAGTAAGGCAGAATTTATACCGTCAAAACTTAAGAGCATTAAAAAGAAAATAAATTCAAATCCCAGGTTTAACAATATGATAGTCCTCAAAGGTCTCGCCCGTCCTGCTGTGAGTGTCGCTGTTTGTCTGAAATAATTTGAAGGCCATCTGATATCTAATGTTAATAATTAATGGGGGTTCTTTTAAAGCTAAAAATGCAGCAGACAACAGGCCGATTAAAAAGGTAGGCAAATACGCACACGCTAAAGCACAGAGGCAAAAACACTGATACAGACTACTGAAGTTATTAACATGGGCAACAGATTTCACAGACCATCACACCCATATCTGTCTTGGTTGTGTGAATATGCAGCTAAAAACAAGGCAGTCCTTAAAAAAAACAAAAATCTCATTTGATATGGACATTTCTCCTGAATACCATTATGCAAACATTTCAAGTCTTTGTCCTGCTTCCAACATTTTTAGGGCGAGTCTTTGGGAACCTTGACAACACTCTGTAGGGCATCCATCTGAAACACAGTGAACTCTGTGCTTACTCAATGAGCCACAAACCTAAAATGTAATTTTAACCAGACTGAGTGCTTCATACAGGAAGAAAATGGGAAGCTATTCAGTGAAACTTTGAAATGGATACAATTTGCATTCACGTACAATCGAGGGTGCTCTCTGTGCTTTTCAGCGTAGTGGTTCTTGTCTTTAGTGAACTCCAAAACTCATGGACATGTTTTAAAACCTTTTTTGGACTTGGTCTGCTTTTAAAACATATTTTTAAAAGAACTTAGTATCTTTAAAAATTAGTGCAGTCAATAACAAATTATGCAGCTTATCCGTGAAGTGAGGAAGTGCAAAACACTGTCATGAAAGTAGTTGGTAGCTACATATTTGAAGGTTTTTTTTTGTTTTTGGTTAAACTGTAAAGTAAAAAGAAAGACAGGAAAAAGTTTGTAATCAAGCAAATAAGATGATTACTAAAAAATGTATAAGTCAGTATGTTATTGATAAAAAGTTAGTTTTGGTTAGTTAAGGTATGAAGCTTCCTTTACAAAATTAATCTGCAAACCTGTCCGTAGGCACTGAATTAAAAGGAAGGCAAAGAAAATACTGAATTGCAAAGGCAGAGCAGGATTAATAGAGTTAGAGCATCTAAAAAGGCACTTTAAAAAAACCCCACTTTCTTTATATGTCAGTCTGTTTAAAAAGGCACACGATTGACTGGTGCTTCAAGTTATTCCTCAAGTGGTCTTTTGATTCCAGATCTAGGCCAATGATGCGTTGTAACAAAATGCTTTGAGGTAAACATGATCGTGCCAAAGACAACTGATTCTCCAATCCTACCGTGCAGCTTAACAGTACGTAGATAAAACACTGGGTGTGTTCTGTTCCTAACGTGGGCACCAACAAAAATGCGTATTGGACACGTCACTATGTTCATGTCACAGTGGCCATTAAAAAAAAAAACAACAAAAAAAACACAACACTCTACTTTCATCAATACTAAAATGGCAATAATGTAAACTCAGAAATTCGACCGTGAAAGTAATTTGGCAAATCAAAGTGTGATTCATCAACTTGTCACACATGCTGATAAATGAAGAGTAGGCGTGACATGTTAAAAAAAATTATCTGTTGGCTTTGAATCCTTTGAATCCCAGTGACAGTGATGACAATGCACACGATGCACAAAAAAAATGATAAAAATGTCATATGATGATACTGATGGTGATAAAATGTCTCTTTTTTTATATATATATTTATATATAATACATACAATACTTGGATCAACCAGTAACACCGATCTAGTGCAATAGTCACAGTCACTTTTTGTCAGAGCTGTTGTGATCTGTAATGTGTTTGCCTACTAAAAGTCTGTCAATCTAGTTCCTCACTCCTCAAGTCCCACTCAGACCGTCGTCTCTCTGCTGGCTTTTAGGTTAGGAGCAGACATTTGCCTGCGCATTCGTGGAGGTGGCTGAAAGTTGACTGGATGGTTAGGATGGTCAGTGTGATGGTAATGCTGGTAACCATTGAAGCCGCCATCGGCATACATTGTGCCGTTATAGTGGCATGGCTGTTGGTGGTGGTGAGGCTGGGGATGTGCTGGCTGGTTCTGATAGTGGCGGGGCTGGTAGAAAGCCTGCGTATACCTCCTGTTGCTTTCAGACTGCTGCAGTGACTCCATGGAGCCCGAGGGACGCTGACGGTGATTAAAGGAGTTGCTGCGGCCTCGTTCGTGCAGCTGCTGATGTTGGTTGTTCCTATAGTTATGCCTGTGACCCTGGTTTAAACCTTGGTCTGAGTCTTTGCTTCTGCGCTGAACTGATGGGCTTTGCAGCGCTGGAGAGACTTGGATAACTGAAGCAGCCATCTTATCCATCTTATCGCTACACTGTACATCTTCTCCAGCTAGGCTTTCTGCCTCCTCTTCCTGTACAGCTTCTTTGGGAACCTTTAACTCTATAACCTGCTCATCTGTAATTATGATATGAGTACCCGGGCTCCACGAGTTACGGTGCTTTGGATTACTTTTGAAGGGGAAGCGTAATTTACGGTCTTCTGGTGGTATAAAGCGATGAGGCCCGGGATGCCGGCGGAGCTGCTTGGAGATCTCTTGTTGCTGTAGATTCTTGAGGCGCAGCTGCTCTTGACGCATCCAGCGCATGTGGCCTCGCTTTAGCGTTGAATCATCTGCCATACTTTGGCCTGTTAGTGAATCTGCATCTTCTTCGTCAGGCTTTTCAGGCACAGGTAGTTTTCCTTCCTGAGGGCTTGGAGTTCTTGCTTCACAAGTAGAGGGACCTACAATGGGAGGCTTTTCTTGGCCCTCTGGGGTTATGAGCGGTAGGACCTTTTCCATTTTAACCATCTTATTCCTGAGGGCACGGATCTCCTCATCCTTCATGTTATTCTGTTTCTTCACCTCCTGCAGGATGTCCTCGAGTTTATCAATGTGCACTTTTAGTTCGTCCATAACAACTCCTCCGGGTCGAGACCCATTGGTCATGACATCCTCAATGCGCTCGTCACCAACCCCTACAGTGTCCCAAACATCCCGAGCCACCGCCCTCCACGAGTCCCGCTCGTTGGGGTCCTTCTTGCCATAGCTAGCGCAAAGCTCCTTCATCTTTACAATAGCCAAAGCCTCGATTTCCTGCCGTGTGTGACGGAAGTCATTGAGCGCCACTTCGTAGCAGATTTCTTTGACTGCCTGGATCTTCAGGTCAGAGATGGTGACCCACTTAGAGTCCTTGGTGATGCGGCGCCGCTGAGGGATCTGGTACATTTTCACTGGCTCTCTTCTTTTCCCACTGCTGGGTAATCCACACTTTTTCACTATGGTTTGGAGCTTGCTGGGAGGTAGCTTTTCCCTCAGGGAAGTGATCAGTCTCCAGCTCTCTTCGCAAGACCTCTTATCTGAGTCATCCCCACTATCAGAGTCTCCATCCTTAAGAAAACAACACAGGACACAAACCAGATGGGTCCCCCCCCAAAAAAGGAGAAATTACAATGGGAAATCAGGGAGAGGATGAAAAGATGGCTTTTAAAAAAGAAAAAAAGAAAAGAATGAACATATAAATATGCAACAAGGGAACACCAACCACGAGTCAAAGTTATATCAGAAGATTACGTTCTGTCTTAAGCGCAGACAGCATTTCCAAATTCTGGATTTTTAACCAAAAGTGACAATTACACTAATATTAGAAACACTTTGCATACATCATTATTATACAAGATGTATGGCAACATGCAAGATTATTTTTAAAGTTATGCTGAAAATAAAGCTATAGAAACGGGAAAAATTTATTCACAGAAACAGTGGCTTCCATTGACTTTCTTGTCAGTTTTCCCTCTCTAACTTCTCCACCGAAACGGCGCTGTGGATATAAATTCATGTTCAACACAACACTCGCTAAAACTTTTTATATGTCTGAAATGGATGTGTCCTTTTTGGACCTTATTGTTCCCAGTGTTGCATATTGATATTAAAGGTAAAGCATGTCTATCATGATTAGAAAGAAAATATCAATAGATGATAGTTGCTGATTGGAGCACATCTGTACTGTTTTGTGATATTCCTCTTCTTAGTGGAAAATTTTGTGAGCTGGATCCCAAACATGCTACAGCAGCATGCATGTAGATGAATTCTGGAGCTTTCCCCCTTTAGTCCAGAAGGTTTGAGTGGCTTTAGTATTAGTGGTAAGTTAGCAGACAGTGTTCTTGCAGTTGATCAGAAAGCCAGTAGAGAGAGGAGATGCAGAAGTGCGGATAAGTGTTAATCCACTACAAGAAAGTTGTTAGTTGGAGGGGAAAAAAAAAAAAATGCAGTTTCTCATTTTTTTGGAGACAGCATACATTACAGATCACAACCAGTAGAGATCATTTCGATTGTGTGTATGAGACTGTACGTATCTTTGGGAAGAATTGGACATGTTATGTCCCTGGGAGTCTGAACCCTCTGTGTGTAATTCTGCACATATAAAACCACCAGGATGTGAACGAGGCTCCGTGATTCACTGAGTTAACTGTGAGCAGTGGTAACTGTTGTTCAGTCGTGCCCTCACAGATGCCAAAGAAGTCAATGAGAAACCACATTGTCACTATCTGTCAAAAACTACAGCAGAAATTGTTGTTATCACAATGCATTGTACATATCAGCAACTGCATTGAAGAGATGAAACTCAGGACAAAACAGAGTAAGAAAACTAGAGTAGAAATCTAATCCAAGCAAATCAACAGCCACTTCAGAGTTGACCAGCTCCGGCAAACACTGCAACTTAGTCCACAACCAGTACTGAATGAGTTAAGAAAACATGCTATTAAAATGAACCATGCAAAAGCAGCGTCACTTTTTAACATGTTTTTCGATGCTGATAAATGCTGAATCGGTTTTAAAGGAAATTTGATCTTCATATCAAATCAATTTTAGCTGCAAGTTGCTGTTTTGCAAGATTCAGATCCACTAAAGAAGACACAAGAAAGGGGAAAACAGGGGTTTGGAAAGGGGAAAGCTTTATAGTCTAATTCTTGCTCAATCAAGCTGCTACAGAAAAAATAAATAAATTGTTGAACACAAGAGGACAGCCAGTAAAAGCTTATCCGTCTCAAACCAGAAAAACTTCCATGCAAAAAGAACAGACATGCGCTAGGAGTAAAAGTGTGATTCACACATAAACATCTCAAAGTGTCAGAGCTCGGAGTGAGAATTAGTACTAGTGAGATTTAAAAGGACCAAATGAAACCACCATCCAAAGAAACAAGCTGTCAAATTGTAACTGATCGTAGCTTTGGAGATACTTTTACTTTGAAATCCACGAGAGATAGCCTGAAGTACATCAAAAATCACACAAAATATCCCAAACTAACACGTTCACTCAATAGGCTGCTTCTAGTAGCGATTTCATTAACTTTAACAAAAGGAAGAACTGACATTACAGCTCCTTTTACACCCACTCTGCACTTATTACTAACTGGTTTAAAACATCTTTGATAACAAAAAACAGAGTGAGTTCTTTAAATTCACAAAAGGGGCTTATTTGAACTCACCAGTCGCTGCTGCTCCAGAAGCTGATCGGCTTCTTCCTTCTCTTTTTTGTACAAGATTTCCATCTCAGTGAGTCTACACAGCAGAGTAAAATAAAAGTTTTGAAACACATCAAACAATCCACATTTAATGCCACACAACTACTCGCATATTTAAAATAAATGAACGTCATAGATTGCATACCTTTTCTCCATTTCCTGCTTCATGTCAATGCCCTGTTTCTCCAGGAGTTCTCTCTGAGCAAATGTCCAATCAACGGGCTCCACGGGGGTTTCGGCCGATGGCGTCTTCTCCCTTTCAGCTCTGGCCTGCTCTGGGTGGTTGAACCGGAACACGTGGTTCTTTCCCATAATGATGCGATTGCCTTAGAGAAGGCAGCACAAGCATGAAAGAAATTTCTTAAACGCTACAGGTCATAAATACATTTCATAATTTGGGCATTAAGAAATTAGTTACATCATATCTGCTTACAGACATCACACAAATGTTCACAGTTTGTATAGAAAACTTTCTACACACATACCTGAACGAAGCTGGATCGAGTCCTCAACACGCTTGCCGTTGACGTAGGTCTCCGATCCCTCGCAGGGCACCAGCATGACAATAACTTTAGCAAAAACAAACCAATCGCAAATCAATCATTCTGAATGACTCATCACCATTCAAAAAAAACAAACAAACAAACAAAAAAAAAAACCAAAAAGAAAAACCCACAAATACGTCACCCATTAGATGTAGTCTATATATTTATACACTCGTTTCATCCGTTCAAAAAAAAAAAAAAAAAAAAAGGTTTCGTTTGTATGTGTTTAGGTGTTTTTAAAATCACACTATAAACATCTTGCTCAACTTAATTTAGCACACATTCAATACAAACACCTCCAAACACCAGCAGCCAGTATTATGTCTCACCATCTCCATTTGCATTCCTTTCGCTGCGGAAGTAGCAGTGTTCTTCCTTGATATGAGCACCGCTTAAAACAATGTCCTGTCTTCTCTCTGCGTCGGCCTGACCCACTCTGAAACAATCACAGAAGCCAGTTTGAGAGACTGCATACTGCTATACACATGCATTGTCAGCCATTTGTGCAAAAATGTACAGTTAGTGTTTCTGTAAGTTGAAATGTAACAACTGACTCAACAGAAAGAGTCTATACAGGGTACCAACAGGACAAAGAGGTGACATAAACAAAAGCAAAATGTATTCATTAGCAGATTTTAAGCCTGATCATAAAAAGACCCAGTAGTTTTCCAGACAACCTTGCCTGGGAGAGTTGCCAGAGCTTTCCAAATCCACTGCGGCAGGGTCATTATTCGGGTTTAGGTTACCTTGTAATTCCGTCTTTGATGTAGTAGAGCAGACACTCAGACATGAGAGGATCCTCATTCAGGTTAACCAGGTGTGGGGTCTACAGATAAACACATGAAGCAGACAGTTTACCACAAAAACATTTCTAGAATTTCGCTGCTTTAATCAACATTCATAAGTGCAGAAACTGCCCCTGATGCTAGGATATTTTCATATCAAACAAATGCTTCTGTCTGCAAATGTAGACAGAAGCGGTCACATCAACACTGTCCTGACAACTCTGGAGTCTTATATTTCACAGAACTACTTCAAAAAGGATCCTGCAAGCTATTCCTCCAAAACACCAACCTTTTTAGGTGAGAATACCCCGTTAAAGTCTGCATAGAGATCGCAAGGCTAACCCGTGGAGCAGTGAGTGAAAGGAGAGAAAAGAAATTATGGAAGGCAATCGGATGTGAACAAAGGACACACACACACACACACACACACACACACAGACTCACAAACTCATGAAGTGATGACGTGTGTTGTTTCAGGCACTAATGACTCTACTGACAAACAAACATAAACATATCTACCAGTTTTTAAGTCACTGCACTATAGCACTGCCTCTACTTGATGGAGTGAAGGGAACATGCCACTGCTTGTAATTTCATAAGGATCTGATAGCACTGAGAGCATCTACAGGAAAAAAAAAAATAAGACTGCAAATGATCCAGCAGAGTAAAAGTACAAAACAATGAGCAGAAAAAGTGTAGATCTGGACCATGCACATAAAATGTCTATTAAAGACTAAACTGTCTAAAGTGGGGCTATTTCTAATGCGGGAAATGTAGTTCTGCCAGCTTATTTGGTTAAACAAACCTTTTTGGTGGCAAAACAATCAAAAGGCTCGTCAAATGGCCCTTCATCGCTAAGCTGAGTATGTGAAGGAAGCAAATAAGAAGTGGAAAGAAAGACAGAATGATAAAGAAAAAAACCCCAGGAAGGGTTCTCATGGAAAAAGACAGTGAGGTAAAGTGAAGTGATGGAGGAAGGATGTGCTTCACCACCAGTGGGAATGTTGACACTGTGCGCTCCCACCCAGTCTGTCATACCTTTTTAGGAGAGAATACACCCAAAGTGCCTCCATCTTCACGGATTGCCACGCCCATCTCTGCAAGCAAAGCCTCCCTGAAATACAGCCAAAAAACATTTGTACACTCAGTGAAAGCATTCGTTATTGGTCTTTTATTCTTGCTGCAACATACACTGTGTGCACTTCTTTTTTCCCCACTAAAGACCGTTTGTGCTGATAACTCGAAGAGGATGAGAACCGATGGTGTGCAACGTTGGAGTAAGTGATTTGTAGCATGACAACCGGCTGAGAATGGCACCAGTTAGACTCTATGGACAGACGGTAGCATGGTTGATGTCTGAGAGGGGTGTTTGTGCAGCCGAGTGTGACGACAAAGGAGGACAGTGAAATGGACAGAACTAGTGCAGAGATGGAAAAAAAGGTGGGAGAGAAAAGTAAAACAGACAACACAGAGGGATGAAGAGAGAGAGTAAAGTACTAGGGGAAAACTAAAGGTTTGGTTACAGTTCTTAAGATGTGATATTTGACAGTGTTGAAAATTAATTGTGCTCATAGAGAGAGGGGGATAGGTAAATCATGACCAACAAAGAGGGAGAAGACAAGAATATCCTATACAAAAAAAGGGGGGTAATAGTCACATGCTGAGTAACAAACAAACAAAGCTTCAGAGAGCTAGAATGAGAAGGAACGTGGCCAATCACAGCATCAGGTGGGAGTGAACGTCAAATTGCAGATAATGGATGACAGACATCCCTCTATGTGACGTCTGAGAGGTGTGTCGGGGGAAGTTTCCAATGCTATCAGAGCATTTGACACACAGTTGAGACAGACCGCACACCCCTTTAAGACTGACAGGATGCAATGAGGAAGACTTTAATGCACACGTTGGACAGACACCTTCCCCCTCGGGAAATAAAGATGGAAATGAACAAACACTGTCTGCCTGTACTGACCTCTCCATGCGGATTGCCTCAGTCTTTCGCAGTTTCTCCTCCCAGGTTTCATTGAGCTCAGCAATGATCTTTTCTGATTCCTGAACAAAGGGGAAATTATGAGAAAAACCAAACCGGTGTAATATAAAAGTAACTATTAGCAGTGTATTGGAGGCAGGAACAAGCGCACCAACCTGGATTTGGGAGATTACCTTTGCCTCATCACTGTCAAATGTTTATGTGTAATGTTTATACTTTCCCTTCACAAAATAAACTTGTATATTCAACGTGATTATGACTTATTTTCTTGCGTTTAGATTCCCAAAAATAGTTTCAGCACTGATAGAGAACGCTGTTCCTAACTATTAAAGCCTAAAGCTGATAAGACTGAATCTATTTTGGTCTGATTTCCACCGTATTTGCGTTGGTGCTTGACGTCATTGGATGACAGACGGGACCGGGCACCACGGTTGCCATGGAAACTGCAGCTCCTCATGGCTGTGGATGTTGCAATCTTATGTGCTACCCTATCTACAGAGTGTGAGAGACTGCTGTGAGTGGGAGGCATATAAGGCTCGGTAGCTGCGTGACGACCGATACGCAAGGCAGGGTTTTAATAAAGGCTGTATGTGGCGTAAAATTAAACAGCCATCTTAACGTTAAACAAATATATTGAATAAGTTACAGTTTCTCCCTTTTTATCTTATTTCACGTTATTTCTTGACTTCTAATAAATTTTGTATATTTAATCATAAAAAATAAAGCTGCATCTCTATATTTATATACACTGTGGATAAAATACACTTTTTAACAATTAAAAACAAGCCTGTTGTCCCGTGTGGCATTGAAAAAGTCCGCAATTACTTTATTATTTTTGCCATATTAACCATGAAACCAGCAGTTAAGACCAATAGTTGTTTTTTTTCTTTCTTTTCTTCAAGCCTCTATTGGTTAGAGCAGAGGTGTCAAACATAAGGTCCAGGGGTCAGAATTGGCCCAGCAAAGGCTCCAAAACCGCCCTACTAATAAAGACGTCCCTCAACGATATTCAAACAGAAAATTTTCTGTGATTTAAGAAAAACTTTCGTTTTATAATTACAGGATAGTCTGGGCAGTAACTGAACTTTTGATTTTTTTATTTTACGCATTTATTTCTTACAATTTAAGTCCAGAGTTTTGCTGACAGACTTATTTTCCTACAGTTACATTACTCCTTTATGTAGGAAAACTTAGATATTGTTGAAATTATATTTATTTTTCTTATAATTGCATATCTCAGCAAATAAATACATAGTTGTAAATGTCTTATTCCACTAACAGAAAGAGGAGTTCCACTTAAGATCAAAGCTCTGTATGTGGGCCAGGGTATAAAATGAGATATCTGGGATACACCTTTAAGTGGCCGGAGTAGGAAGATGGCTGCGGGACTTTTAACTTTCCTAACAACAAACAGTCAGTGTGATTTTAAAAGTGCTGCATACACCATTGTCTGCTTTACCTTGAGTCTTTCAATGGCCTCCTCCCCTCCAGGCGTGGACATGATTCGCTCTTGGATGCTGGTGACTGACTGAAGGCCCCCCTGGCTGCACAGCGAGCCAGAAGACGGCGAGGCTGTCAGGGAACCAATAGGGGCTGTGGAGAAATGGCCAGGGCGTTGGTTCTCTGAGGCTATCAAGTATCTATTCTTATTGTTCTGAATGTCTTTGAGGTCTGAGCCAACAACAAGAAAGAGAGAGGGAGAAGGAAGATAACACAGAAAGAGGAGGGATAGGCCAAGAAAGGTTTGAAGGAATAAAACACATAAAAATGGAATAACGAAATACCAAATAGAAAGAAGGAAAGAAAGTAACAGGGGGGGGGGCAGATGGGGAAAGAGAAAGGACAAAGGGGAGGAAAGACCAATGTAAGACACACATTTTACGTTGTAGGGTTTAGACAAACACCCAGCATGATAGTCAGCTACAGACAGCAGCAGTTTTCACTCCAGGCAGTTACGCTCCAACTCATCATCTTCCAGAGAAAACGCATTAGATTTCAGCCTTTAATAACCAGTTTAAAGGGCGGCTTTTATGGTGGTCACAATTACAGTGGAGAGCAATTAACTCTGAGCTCTTAATTTGTAGTATGTTTGGAAGAAATAGGGAGGTGTCACTTTGTTGCTTCTGTGTATGTGTGAACGAGGGTGAACACACTGTGTGAAAACTGCTATCACGAGTATCGGCTACAGGATGGGAGGGAGATGGAGACTGCAAGAAGGTCCAGCAGGAGGACAGAGGAGAGACGTGGACACATGCTGGCAAAGAAAGTTCAGCCTGGAGTTGATTAGATTAATTCACAGCACACGCGCCATACGCACACAGCATCCGCCATAACAAAAGCCACAGCAGCCTCACTCAAAGGTCAGGTAGCTCATGTCAATATAATGACCTCAAGGGCCTCTGAGGCAACACACAAGTGAGCTCTTTAAGGACCAAACTAAATCAAAGTGATATTAGAAAAGGGTAAATATTCTGGGGGATGATGACTTTCTTGAGATATGGGCTTTTTTCAAAAACACACCCAACTATAGCTTGAGCTAGTTAACTATTTGCCCTGCACATCAGATGGTGCAGAAACATTTTTAAGGTTAAGATGTTAGGGATGCTTGAGAATACAACAGAAAGCACACTAGCAAACTAGTCACTCTACTAACTACTAAAGTGCACAAAGTTAGTCAAATCTTTACACAAACACCTCTGGTGCCTCTATATAGAAATACAAAAATTAAGCACCTTTCCGTCTGTAGCTCTGAGCCTCAGTTTGAGAACTCAGAAGGGGCATTTTAAAGCTTTGGGCACCGTCACCTGCTGGGGATGATTAGTGAAAGAAAACAAAATAAAAAGCAGAACGAATAACCGGGATTAAAATAAGCTTAAAGAGTGCGAGTCATAGGTAGTGAGACATTATTATGAAACGATGCATTTGCATTTTGAGGCCAGGGAAAACTAAAGGGCTACTCTAAAATGGATCTGAGCCTGTAAGTAGCTGCCTCCCCCCCTGTCATTCTGAAAAACGTAACAAAAAAATAACAATAAAGCGCAAAGCATGCTAACCTACTGCCATGCTTACTCTTGCCAGTTATAAGAACACCTATGGAAACCTTGCATTTCTGGGACTCTATTAAGCTTTTGCTTTTTTTAAAAAAAACAAAGGCACTTACATGCAAAGCTGGTAGCAGATTCAATATACAGGTAATGGGGTTCATAAGCAATGTTAGCTACTATAATTAGGGCAAATAGTGATATACAGTGCAAGTCTACCACACATATACACACATTTGATTCCACTTCCTGGACAATCATCCCCCATAGGATCAACTGAGGGGAAGCAGGAAAAGATGAGAAGGGTCAGAGGTCAGCACCAGTAGAATAGGAGGAACAGATATTTTTTATGTTGTTTTTTTGGGGGGGCTGGATAAACAATAACAAAGCTGAGAAGAAACGTCACGATATGTTTTGCTAAGTGCTACGCTATTAGACGTGATCTATGCAGGCATTAGCAAGTAGTCAGGTTATTCATCACTTCAGCTATTAGAAGTCATTAATGGGTATATTATGTATCTAATTGACAAGGCTATGAGCCATTACTCCTGCATATAGCAAATGATATTTTAGTGCAGTTTTGAGTGACTACATGTGTTGTCAAACAATCAGTCAAACACATACAACCTTAAATATACTACATATTTGACGTTCTATACATGACTGCACTGAGGCATAATAAACCTTTATTGAGGTAAACTTGTTAAAAGCTGCTTCATTCTTTGTTTTTAGTGATGTACCAGCCACAAGTACAAGCACTGAGATGAAAACGTTAGATGGCTGAGAGTAACGAGACAGTAATGAAGATAGAAGACGTTGCCAGTTTGTGGTGGGCCCTGACAGAGAAGGTCGCTGGCTGCAGATACGACCAGCTGAGACAGCATAAAACTCACTGTCCAGAATGTCTCCCAGGCCCTGGGCACGGAGCAGTTCCTTCAGCCGGGCCACTTCATCCTTCAGATCGCGCACCAGCTTATTGTTGGGATCCTCATTGATGACAGCATTGCATTTGATGTTCTTGGCGCGGTCAGCATAGCTAAAAACATAATAAAACAAATAATTTTAAGTGTAATTCAAACAATCACAATCACAATCTTCCTCCAGGACAGAAAGCTTACCGCAGAGTGCTGAGGGTTTCATCGTAGTTTATGTCTGCAGGACTGAGGGCAGCTACCATGGCTGTTCTGGAGTTCCCACCTGATAAAAGATCAGTAGAGATGTCAGATAAGCATTGAGGACCAAACATGACCAAAGGCACATAGAATTTCTATGAAAATACAACACTTTTTAAAAGCTCGTCAAATGAAATAAATTTTTTGTGTAATCAAGAGCTTCATTAGACTAAATCTAAGATACACTGCGCACTTTTTGTGACACGTCTGGACCAAGGAGGTGAGCCGACTATGCTCTTCTTAAAACTTCCTGAGTGCAATGTAGACTATTTCAAGTCTTTTCTTTTTTCAATCCTGACAGCATATTCCATTATGCAAATGGCTGAATTTCTCTGGCTTTTCATACGTAATTTACTGGCAAACCACTATTGTCACATAGTAACGTCAATTAATCAAGTGATACTAATATCCATACCGAGGTTCTCCCTCAGCAGCCATGTCAGAACAGAGTCCCTGTATGGGATGAAATCACTCTTCTTCTTCTTCTTGCTCTGCGGTAAGCAAAAAATAAATAAATCAATATATGAGTAAAAATGAGCTGATGTAATGATGTAGAAATTATGGAAACGACTGGAGGCTGTGCAATATTATGTTGTAATAGAAAAAAAAAAGATCCTTATGTGTAAGGGTCAATATGTCAGGTAAAATGAGGAGAGAGTTAATTTGACATGCATTTGCTCTTGTGCACGGATTGAGGGTTTAAGGTTTAAAGTGATAAAACTGATAACAGCTAAATATCTGCAACTTCATTGCTGCACATGACCAAAGGCTGTCAAATCTGTCTCATGGGATGAATGACAGGTTAGTGGTTTAGCTGTGAAAGGGTTTACCTTGCTGGTACAATTATCCTGTGCAAGTAAGCATTACAAGGACAAGAGAAGAGAGAACAGAAGGGCAGACATTACAGCATGCCAGGCTACAAACATGAATTCCTTTTGAAGGTAGGGTCAAGTTGTAGAGGATAAGAGAACGACTGCAAAGAAGGAGGAGGAGAGAAATAAAGGAAATAAAATCAAGTGTAAGACTCACCACTTCAGCCAAGGCAGAGATAACCTTTCCTAACGTGGTGAGAGACTTGTTGATGTTTGCTCCTTCCTGCAAGCACAGACAAAAAACAAAAACAGATTTCCAGGTTGTACAAGCCATTTTTTAAAATGTGATTCCAAGGTGTTTGGGATAATCGGAGTCTTACCTTTAGCCTGGTACCTTTAGCTCCAGTTGAATCTGCTCGCTCACTGCCTGCCAAGTCTACCAGACTAATTTTACTGACCTAAAGGGAGGGAGTAAATGCATTAGATGCATCAGGCCTATAATAATGTGCATTTAATAGGGTGGGTAGAGATAATAAATAAATAAAATACAGCTCTTAGCTTCACCAATGCCAAATCTAAATTTCTGCATAATGTTGACCACATCAGAAAAAAAAGATAGGAGCACAGTGCAGCACTTGGATGATGTACAGACTCCTCATACCAAAGCTACTGCATGACACAGGTTAGCATCTTATGAACAGCCTGGACACAGTAATGAGCTGAGCATCAGCGACAAAGCACGCACTATAAAACTTGACCAGCTCTGGTGAGGTGAAGAAATAGCTCTGTCAGTGTAATCTATTACAAAAGATCTGTTCCATTACTGCAACAGAAACAGCACTGCTGGAGGTATGACGTAAAAAAATGAAAGCTCCACTTTCACTTTATTTATAGTTTTTATGTCAAGGAAAACGTATGCCTGGTGCTCCCGAGCCAAGCAGCAGATTCACACAAATCACATTAGAAAATAATTTATAAAGGAAATCAATGCTAAATGCAAAACTTTTTTGCATTTAGCATTTTTGCATTTAGAAAACAGAGACAAATTCCAGTTTAATGGTTTAAATCCCACCATAAAAATCTGCAGAATGAATTGTTGAACACATTCAAAGCATTTGGGGGCATTCCTGTCAAGTGAGATGGAGCAAGGGTGTAAAATCTAACAGAGTGGCCACATACAATAGGCATTGTTTTCAGTAACACAGCGGTCTTTGTTCCTCCACAGTCTGAGGAAATTCTAAAAGTCAAATCTAAAATGGCTCTCTCTCTTTTTTTTTCCCCCCTGCCTCCTGTGACCACTAACTTCAGGAGACTAAAGGACCAAAGAAAGCTTTTAACCCATTTTTCAGTCTAAATAAAACAGCATAAAGAAATTCATCTCTAACAAACACAAGGAAGGAACTTTAAGTGTATTTGAGTGTGAATGTTTTCCAACTAATTATAAACAAAGAGGGCGACTGTTTTCCTGCTCTGACCTTTTCTGTGGAGAGGTCCGTCTCGCTGTCGTGTTTCCTCTGAGTGAAGACAATGGTGAAAACAGCATGGGACCTGCTGCTTGTCTCGTTCATGTTGGTAGCAGCCACAGTTCTGGAGTTTAGCACATATGGGCACAGTTAGGAAATAAACAGTATGATTTCTGAGCACCTTAATAACCACACAATATTCTTTTAAAGGAAAATTAATTCCTAATTCTTAGTCTTGGCTATTACTAGCGCTATCATCAGTGGGTTTTACACCTATTAGAGTGAAGTAAATCTAAAGGATTACTTTGTGCGGCGGAGGTGGATAATAACGCGAGGACGCCAAACACAAACACATGAGGAGTGCTTAGAGGGATAGTCACAGGGGAGATATGGGCTTTACGTGGCATGTTCTAGAAATAAGCCTTCTAAGTCAGCACAGTGAGATTATGGCAGGGTTCACTCCTCCTCACACGAGCCCTCGTGCACGCGCACATTTCATTGAAAAATACTCATTACCTGCCAGGTCAAGCTTGACATGCGGTTATATTTAAAAAAAAATAAAAATAAAAAATTAAGGCGGTAACACAGTGAAGGCTGAGCTGTCTTGCTGTTTAACAATTCAACCCTTGCAAATGAGTCATACAAGAACATTTCCTCAATCAAAGCTAATTTTTATCTTTTATCAACCTGACTGACCGTTGATTATCAGATCACCACAGCTGTCGCCACAACTTTAGCCCCTCCCGCTCCTTCCTGTGATCTCAGCATGATCTCAGGGCTTAGCTCACCTGGCCTTGTTGCCAGCATCCATCAGGTCAGCGATGTCTGTGTAGGAGGTGACAGCTAGCTTGGACAGATCCTCTACATAGGGACCCAACAGCGGGTGTTCTCGGACTCGTAGGTTCCCTTTGTTCTTGGGGTTGAGCAAATCTCGGACGCGCTCGCAGTAGATCTCCATGTAACTGACCTGGAAACAATTTCAGAAGTACAGAGAGCAATTTCAGGTGCTCCAGGTTGAATATATTAAGCTAATATTGTGCAGCTCTGTACAAAGAATATATATTAATGTCACTATTGATATATATAAGAGGAGGTATTTGCATGCATATATTAAGGTCAGAGAACATAAGATATACTTTATTTATCCCAGATTTGGGAAATTATCCGGATCACAATCGCACCTCAACTTCACAGTCACACTTTTGTTTTCCCAATTTTACTGGCAGAGATTTGCAAAGAAAACCATGCAGTATGTGACTGAAGTCTGGGAAATGCTCAGGAAAGAGCAGCGAACACAAAAAGTTGGGGGCAGAGGTGAACCATGAGGACTACAGATACCAAAGAAGAATGATACTCACCTCTACTGAGTAGGAGAGCTCCTCTTTGTTGCCGTCCTCATTGATCTTCTCAAACAGATCTTCACACAGCTGAGTGGCAAAGAAAAAAAGCATTTTAGTTCAAATGACGGCATCCGCAGATATAAAAGAGGCGATAAATAGGTGTGAGATCTGTGGGCTTCTTATAAAGCAAACATTTAAATAGTTATAGCCTGAAAACCTAAAATTGTAAACTTTGGCCAAATGTCATTCACTTTCCACACCGCTCTAAATTGCTTTCAGTGTGGTTGCAGCTTAAAGGACTTAAAGTTGTTTCAGTTCTTCTATTTTAGACTGTTTAAATATTCTGAAAGGTGAATTTAGAAACTTTCTATCCATTAGATCTGACAATCTGATCAAAGGAGGGGAAAGAGCCAGATCAAAGCTTTGGGAGAGGACACCTTTGTCATTACATACATTATTTAAGTGTATAAAAAAAATCTGTTATGCATATATTTTTCAGGCTTTTCATCATAAACAAGGCACTACGTGTAATATTTCCAGAGCTCTGATGGTCTAAGATGTGTACAGAATTAGTAGATTAAATGGACTCAGCAGTTTGCGAGTTGTACTATACATTCAAGGCTCTAAATGAGCAGGAATAGTAAACAGACTACAAGACAAGGGATTGCATTATTTGTCTTAGTCTCTGCAGTGCAGTGAATGGTGAATGAGGTTTTGTTGAACAAACCATGGGAATGATTCCTTCCTGCCCCTCCTCCTGCTTGCCCATCATGGTGTAGGATTTGCCAGCTCCTGTCTGGCCATAAGCAAAGATGCAGACGTTATAACCCTCAAAAGCATGCTGCAGCATTTCCTTTCCAATGTCATTGTACACAAGGTTCTGTGAGGCAAAGCAGGGGTCATCGGGCTGCAATAAAAAGAGAAAAATATATTTAAATATATGTAGCATCACAATAAGATTTGCATATTTTCTTTGCTTTTAGTGATTAGAGTTAAAACTCACAGAGGTATGAGACCAATAGGAGTAATCAAAACTGAAGGTCTTTGCTGGTTCCTTTGGGGCTTTGGGGTTGAGGATAGCTGTGGAGGAGGAACAAAATTAGTAATGGGGTTGATATTTTCTAGATTGAAAGTTGAAGTGACACAAAAACTACTCGCATGTTCTGTTATTTTAAAAAGCTGCCTTTAGTTAGTTTATGATGTCTTCTACAGAATTCTTTAGTTGTGTTTCTTCAACCAAAAGCAGCTTCTGTGCTCAATAATATATATAACCATGCATTCCTCATGTTTTCCCCTCATGTCTTTCCTACATTTCTTTTTAAAGTAAATAAATAAACAAAGACTGTAAATTTAAATTGGAGTTACTAAATAGACCCAAATGATAAGATATATATATATATGTGATCCTGGTTGGCAAATAGCAGCTACCTCAGGTTCCTGTTCCTCAATTAGAGAGATATTTTTGGCAATGCAAGTCACATGAAACAGTGGCAGACTACGCGATGCTGGCTTCTTTTTTTTTTGAGAACTGCAACTGTTGCAGCAAGCTCTGCCACATATGGTTTATCCTTAACCAGTGTTTTAATCATCATCATTAAGATTGACATCATTACAAAATGACAGTTTGAATGAAAAACACCAGCCTACTTCAATCACACCACTTCACCTGCTCTCGCTCAACACTACTCAGCCATTCCCCGTCGCCACATGGACAGTTTTTAATGAATAGAAATCTGCTGCCATGCCTGGCATGTCACACTCCTCAACCATGCTGGTTGGTACTGCCGGTGACAAGTGCACTAGATTTCACACTGGATATGTGACAGGCAGAAAGCGGGATGTTAATTTACTATAAGATAACCACAGAAATCACTCCTCTTAGACAAACTAAACTTTAGGGATTAGAGTTGTTTTGTGCCATGGCTGCAGCAAGAGACTTTGCTCAGGCCAGGCAGACAAATGCATACCACCACCTTTAGAAGTGAGGAGGAAGTGGGAGAGGAAGGAGTGAGAAAGAGGCTAGTGAAAGAAGGGTTTGGAGAGACTAAAATAATGCGAGTGCTCAAGGCCCTAGCAACAGTCCAAACAGATCAACAACAGAAACCGAAGGCAGGACAAAAGGGAAAAAACTATCTGCGCCTTAGTAAGAATGCTACAGTCTGTGAGCGTAAGTATTTAGAGCATTTTCAATCTTTCCAGGGAAGTCTGCAGAAGCAGTCACAAAGGAATAATTAGCGTTGTGTGATGCCCTGTGCTAATGGGCAAATTAAAGCCAGGTTTGGCTCCTCAACATGACGGTGCTTGAGAGGCTTTTGCATCAAGATGTCGCCAGCAGAGTGCCTTGTGTGCTCAGAGGATTTCAGCGCGCTTATCAATAATGCAGGAGATCTGGAGAGTCGGGGATAGCATATCGTCCTCCATGGGTCACAGGCTGACAGAAAAGCACAGCATGTCCTCAGAAACCAGAACACTAACTGCTTCATGCTAAAACTATGATGATTAAAGCAGCAGCTATTTCACTGAAGCTCATATAGATTCATGCAAAAATAATCCATTTGACTGTGCACTCTACAATCTTTGAACAGGTTAAGGTGCGCAGGCAGAGTAGCAGCTTCCATATTGGGCACTGGAAGAGGATACAGCGAGACAGGCTGCTAAATAAATCCCAATTTCAACTTTGACCTGCCTCCAAAGGGAAATTGGAGACTGGGGATGAAGAAATGAAGGGGGATTTAGGTTACCAGTGCCCTTATTCGCCTTTCCTGGAACAATCTACAGTGGCTATTAATGAGAAAGCAGCCTAAGCTCTGATTCAGTGTCAATGAGGCAACTAAGCATTAAAAACAGAAACATGATGAGAGAGTTCCACATGTGGGGGAATTTAGACAGCGATATTCCTATTATAGGACAGAAGTCTGATGGTGACAAACTCTACCATACAGGGAATCAGCATTAAACAAGCTTTTTAATCTTGGACTCTCTCAATCTTCCCAAGTTCAATCTTGGACAAGACACTACATGGTAGCAACTACTAGGAGATTGATCAGCTCCTTAATATGAATCATGCTCATGTAGTACAATTATCTCATTCAATAGCTCACAACATTGCTCCCAGAAAGGAGAGCTGGTTCACCCATGTGGTGTCATCAGTGTGTCATAAGAGTGGGTCTCTTCTGTAAGAGCCTGTAAAGGTGTTCTGAGGTCAAGATACCCACACCTTCAAAAATGGGGCTCTAACTAGTGCTGCATCTGCACATAAAGGATACCAATGGCAACGGTTACATATTCACAGTCTGGCTTTTATTTACACATTGTGTTGAAAGAAGTAAAAAGAAAAAAAACCCCACACCACTCTAATATTTGTTCATGATATTGGTTTGATACTGACTGAAATAGCTGGGTTGGGTGTCTGTGGTACTGTGACAACAGGGAGCCATCTATTTTATTCAAATATAAGTTATTCTAGGTTTGGTTTGCTGTGCTGTGTGTGACCAGGGGTGCACTAGGTCCTAGAAAGAGAGCTTACACAGCATGGAGGAAGCTAACAGCAAACTATTTGGAGTTCAAGATATTTCATGCTTGCTACGCCAACAAGTTTGATTTGTTTTTTGTTGCTTTGCAGCAGTTTGTGAATTTATGTTAGCAAATGGTGTTTGCTAATGGTGCTTTTGCTAGCTAGCCAGGTAGCACTGGAGTCTATTAACAGCTGGGAGGCTCTGTGCTACATTCAAGAACAGCTAAGACAGATGGAGGAACAAGAACAAGTCCAATGGACACCGAAATAAGCTGTGCCCATTGTTTAGAAGATTTCCTGTTTAAAAAAATAAAAATAAAAATAGCAGTTTTGTTTGTGCGTCTTCTTTGCGTGCTCACATTTCAGGCTGTTCCTCTGCACACAGTGTGGTGGCATGCTGCAATACCGAGAACTAAAAAAAATCTGTTTTGTTTAAATTGGTTGAATGAATAAAGCAGAGTCCGATTGTGAGGGTACAGGGAACCAAGAGAGACAAAGATCAGTGCTACTCAAGCATAACAGGTGTTTTGTCCGATGCCACAGAGATTTAAGGATCAAATTAATAAATCCAAATTGAGATTTATTGGTTGTATTTTTAAGTTAGACTTCTCTGCTTTGGACACATTAACACTAACAATAGCACATATCCCAATTTTGTTTAAAAATAAGTGGAAATTAAAAAGTGGCATTATGTCTAACTGAAAAGCATAACAGGAAACCTTTTAAGGACTGAATGACTTTATTTCCTGTGACAATTATTTTTGATTTTTGTTAACCGAGTGGAAGAGTGGACTGCAAATTATTCTGGTTATGTGGTTTTATTTCATTTGTCATTATTATAATGACTAGCACAAACGCAGGCCTGTGGGTCTCGTTTGCTTCGCTCAGGCATAAAAACACAGACATGTGTGTAATTTTATCGTGCCATTCTTTTTATGTTCATTATCACGGTGTATATTAAGAAACTTGCTGTTCATAAACACCAAACAAATGATTTTTTATTTTAAATATATTGTTCTACTTCTTTGCAGACTACTTATTAACAGTTTAAGACAAGCTAATCAGCTACAGGCACTATTAGTTACAGTTTGTTGAAAATGTATGCATATCTGTAAACAAGAACACATTCCAGTGATCCCAAAGTGCCACTGTACTAAAAATTGTTTAGCAACATTTATTTAGAAATAACAATGAACACATATACATAATGTAGACATAATGGCACATTTGTTTTGAGATCAGCTACTATACATAATATATATGAAATTTATAATAATCTGAGTCTTAAAAATAAAATAATCCCCAAAACTATATAGATGTAGTTGTGCTTTAATCCAATCAGAAAACGTCCAGCAGCAAAAACTTTCCATGCCTGAATATTCTACATATTCTTTTCATACCACACTTCTGTGTTAATTGTTTTTCCAAAACGAAAGGCAACAATTCTTAAATTGTGTGGATTTATCATTCTCTCCTTTCTTCTCACAATCAGGAGTACAACCTATACATTTAACATCAATATTTGATTGATAGCTGCAATCAATCAGGATGTGACTGTGGAAAATACGCAAAGTCGTGGTACTTGTATCTACCAGGAGTAGAAAGGTTGGGCTGGTGTGTCACATGCATGTGTCAAATTGTTGCATTTGACGGGCAGAATGTGGAGAGTTTTATCCTCACCATCTGATATATATCTGATCAGTCAATCACAAAACAGTGCCCTTACACTCTAGCATGACATGCCTACACCTGCACATCTCATAAAGCACATGAACAGGGATTCACACTTAGTAAAAGTCACAAGTCCTGACTGAAATAAATAATACTTATAGTACCCCCCACTTAATATTCAGCCACAGTCACATCCTGAACTTGAAATGGCAAACGCATCCTGCTGCCTCATAAGCAACGTCATCATTCCGTCTTTTTCATCCATGGCAACAGGTATAGGACCAGATTCTGGTTGCCATAACAACTCAAACTGGGCACAGACGTGGAGGATGCAGCACATCTCGTCCTCTTTTCTCTCGTCTCGAGCGTTCGCCGTTATTGCCCTCGCAAACTATTTAGACATTCTTAAAATTCAAGTTTATGGATAATTACAGTCATTTATCAAACACTGATTTCCAGGTTTAAATCCTTTGCACATCTTAACAACCAACATGAGGGCGGCACTGCAGACTTTAGGCCACTTATAATGTCAGGCTCAATAAGGCACTGTTTACCATCCCGCCGTCGGTAAGCACTAAACATCCATTACATTAACAGATGACATGCAAATCTACACATATGAGGTACTCAAAAGGAGTCAAAATTCTCTTAAGACTGAGAAACGTAGACAAACAAAAGCTATTGTGTGGCACATTCATCTGTTTGCTCTTCCGAAATGCTACGGTTTTACATTTTCAGCTCCTAGGAATTTAGGATTGATAGGATGCAAGCCCTCCACAAGCCCTCAGGGTGAACAGCAGTTAACTAACCACATCCTGACATCAACCTCAGCTGGTTGTTGCCAGCAGACATTTTGTGCTACAGTGCTCAATATGGGGTCTATAATCCAACCAGG